AAAACATAGCAAAATACATAATCCAATGCTGTTTTTATGTGCTTCTCTTTATTATATCTCCAGCTGACTTAACACATTTTTGGCTCAATTCATCTGAAATCTTACACAATAGTTTTCACTATTTGGTATATGTTGTTTGAACTATATATTATTACATATACAAGCTACATGGAAATTAATCTTTTTCTAGCAGCTGCTCTTATGCCATTACCTTACTTTTAAAATTACTCCCTCCCCATATCCACCTCTATTGAATGATCATTAAAACAACTCTATTGAATGATCATTAAAACAATTTAGAAAATGAGGACAACTAACTTGACTATGCTTGCGTTTTAGAAGGATACCACCGCTCCGAAGGAGGCAAAGGTAGAATTGGTGAGCTGCATATCTGAGGCCTGTGCTATACAGTGAGGCCTTGACACGAACATAGAAAGATGGAGAAAGAAAGGATGTGGGGGAAACTAGATAATTCTGGAAACATTCTGCAGATCTTGTTAAATAAATCAATTAAACAACCGCATAATACAGATGGGAGAAAGGAAGATAGGAAGATGCAAGTTTGTTGAGAGACATGTAGGAAGCACAGCAGGCAGAGTTTGAAACCATCAGAAGAGGGATGAAGGATGGAATCAATACTGACACCAAGGATCCCTGCCTAGAAGACTCGGCACATGATGAAGCCAAGTGTGTGTGTGTGAGTGAGAGAGAGAGAGAGAGAGAGAGAGAGAGAGAGAGAGAGAGAGAGAGAGTGTTTTTGTGAGAAAAGACATTGAGTTCTGTTGGGCCACAATCCACACAAATGACAAAGCCAAAATAAATAAAAATAAATTGTACTAAATGGTCTCTGATTCCTCTAGAGTCTTCCATTCTAAACAGTAAATATTATCCAAGGATTTCATCATATTTTAAAATTAAATTCTATTACTCATTGGCTGTACCACAGTGGAAAGTTAACTAACACTCTGTCCAACTTCTCTATCTAAAACAGATTCCCCTTTTTAGAATTAAATTGAACATCTACCCTAAATAATTTACCTTAAGAATAAACTTTTTATATAAAAGTCCACAAAGTGTGCCTCAATTTCTATCTGGGTGTGATCCAAGCTTATTTCAAAGATATCAACAAAAAGAAAAATCAAGACCATCTGCTTTTCATAAAAATGACACCTAACATGTTAAACCATTTCTGGTTTAATACAACTATAGCTTAAAGCTTTAAAAAACTACCTGGGTGGTGGTAGCGTGCACCTTTAATTCCAGCACTCAGGAGGCAGAGGTAGGCAGACTGCTATGAATTTGAGTCCAGCCTGGTCTACAAAGTGAGTTCTAGGACACAGAGAAAGAAACCCTATCTTGAAAAAAAGAAAGAAAGAAAGAAAAGAAAAAGAGCTTTAAAAATGGGCAAAAACTTTTAAAGCCTTCTCTTGACTTCACTGACCCTATGAACTACTCTCTATTTCTCTCCTTGAAAACAAACTGTGCACTCACCATTTCTCCTATTTGTTCTTCAAATACCTTTAATCTAGCTTTTGGTCCAGATGCTCCTCCAAAATTACTCTCACTACTGTAAAACGGTAATGTAAATTTCTGCTCTTCACTGCTCTTGATCTACAACTAGTGTCACCTGATACTGATGCTCTCTAATCCTCCTGAGACTACTTGGTTCACATGGTTTTTAGAACATCATTTTCTCCTCCTTTCTAGTCTCATCTGCTGCTTTCTCCTCTTTTCCTAACTCTTTAATTTGGATGCCTCAGGATCTAGATCTTGGTTAAGCTCATAATTACACATACTACTGTAAGTGGTCTCTAAGTGACAAGAAATCAAATCAATTTTACTTTCCACACATATACAGAAGGGCTAAAGGGGAGACGATACAGCCAGAAAAGCTTGCTGTGCAAGCATTAGGACCTGAATTCAGATCTTTTGCATCCACATATAAAAACAGGTGCAGTAGGAGATCCGAGTTTAAGTCCCCAGTACCCATATAACATTTCAGCATGATGATGTGCACCTGTAAATCCCAATGCTGGGTAGTGGATATCTGGGGCTGGTTAGCCAGACAGTGTAGCTGCAACAGCAAGTTCCAGGTTCAGTAGGGCCATGTCTCAAATTAAAGAAGGTGTAAAGTGACTAAAGAAGAAACTTTATGTCAATCTGTATCTCTACATATGACACATGTGCGAAACACACACACACACATACACACACACACACACACACACACACACACACACACACACACACACCCCAATGATTCCCTATACCACTTTCTATCCTAAACAGAGGTATTAGCAACTACTTCAACACTCTTCAACCAGATCTTTGGTTTCTACACCTTCCAACTATAATCTACTCTGAAAACAACAGTGTGTCTCAGAGATGATTTGAAGATACTGACTCAGGTAGTCACTTGTCTGCTTGAGTATGGGTGTTTTGCTGTACATATGTCTGTGTACCACATACATTCCTGGTGCCCATGGAGGCCAGAGAGGGTGTCAGATTTCTTGGAACTGAGCTTACAGTTCAGCTGCCATGCAGGTGCTAGGAATTGAACCTGAGTCCTCTGGGAGAACATCCAGTACTTACTCTTAACTACTGAGCCATCTCTCTAGCCCCATGCTACTGAAAATCTGAGTAGCAGCTAAAGTCTCTACAATGGATGCAAAGCCCCTAAGTCTGCTCCTTACTCCTCCTCCCCTCATTTACCTTTCTGACTGCACCTCCTACTAGTCTTTCTCTTTGTTCCCCTTGCTCCCCTCCTGCTTTCTTCTGGTGGCCTCTTTGCTAACCTTTGGACACACCAAGAACTCTATGGCCTCAGGGACTGTGCACCTGCTCTTCTCTATCTCCTGATAATCCTATTTTCTCCATATGTACAGAGACGTACTTTCAAATTTCAAATATTTGTGCAAACTGCAGTGAGGTTTTCTTTGACCACTAATCCTTCATTCCCCATCCCTCCATTCCCTCATGCAAAGAAGCAGAAAAATATGATCAAAACAAAAGAGAACAGTAGTCAATCAAAATTGATCCAGAGCTGAACCAGACATACTGGAGATTAGCAGACATGGACATTAAAAGTTTTTGTAACTGTATCCCAGATGTTCAAAAGCTAAGTAAAGACATGGGACGGACACACACACACACACACACACACACACACACACACGTGCGCGCTCGGTTCTAATCAAATTGTAATTTATACATAAGTGTCTGAGGTGAAAAATAAGTTTAACTAGAAAAATAGATTATATATTACAGAATAAAAGACTAGTGAGCTTGACTACACAGAAAGAGTAACTACTATGACTACCTAAAATGAAACACAGGAAAAGGAAATTTTTTAAAAAGACTAGACAAGACTGAACTAGACTCTGGAGCAGAGGAGAAAGAGGTGAGACAGAAATAAGTTAAGAAAACAATGGCTGAAGAATTTCTAAATTCATGAAAACATGTCCAAACAGCTTGTGAACACTAAACCAAAGAATCTTGAAGAAAACCACACACACACACACACACACACACACACACACACACACACCACACTATCATCACAACACATTATCATCAAATCATTAAAATCAGTGAAAATTGCCTTCAGTTCAACCTTCTATACCAGAAAAGGATAAAGACTATTTTAGATTTACAAAAACTGAAGGATTTCATCACCCATACTATAAGAAATACTAAAAGAAAAATCCTTCAGGCCAAAAGAAAATGACCCTGCATGAAACTAGTATCCACCCAAAGAAATACAAGTGAAAATGTTTACATATACAAAGGATGTGGAAATGGCATTTTCTAATAAATAAAAATTTTAAAAGATTAAAATATCTGCTAAAAAGGATATACCACTAAAAACAATGTTATATTGTGTTTTATAGAATAGACCCAAGTACAATATGACAAAACCATACTGGTCAGACAGGGCAATGCAGAAGTATATTATTTTAAAGTTCTTATACCATGTGTCAGGGGCAAATGTTACTTCAAGGTAGACTGTGGAAGTTAAAGACTTGTACATGAATGCCCATAGCAACAAGTATCATAGCCCAAATTGAAACCAGCTAAATGCCTGAAACCAACCCACTTAAGCTGAGGTCTTAGAGCTACAGTAATTGCCTGACTTCAGCGTTAAGAGCCACAAGATTACACACAGGCTTCTGGTGATATTTTGTTTATGATGTAACAAATAAAGCTTGTCTGAAGATCAGAGTGCAAAGCTAGCAACACTAGTTAGCCATAGAGGCCAGGCAGTGGTGGCATACACCTTTAATCACAGTACTTCGGAGACAGGCAAATGGATTTCTGTTAGTTCAAGGCTACCTGAAATTGATCCAGTCAATCTAAATGAGAAAGAGCTCACACAAAGCTGATCTCAGCACTTGAAGTGACACATGCCTTTAATACTAGCACTAAGGAAGTAGATACAGGAAGGCATATGGCTGGGTAAAGACAGGAACATGAGGTGGGAGGAGACAGCTCACGGCAGTCTAGACCCTCAGTCTGAACATTCAGTCTGAGGATTCGTGAAGACAGGATCACCCATTCAGTTTGAGGTGAAGAGCTAGTGGATAGCTGCTTTGCTTCTCTGATCTTTCAGCTTCCCCCACCTAATATCTGACTCTGGGTTTTTACTATTAAGACCAATTAGAACTCATGCTACACAGGGCACCAAAGAATCCCCTAAAAGCTAAGCCATATCAGGACTCAATAAACAGAATGGAAAAAAATAAAAAGTAATAAAATTTCTCTTATCAGATGAAGTTTCTCCCTACTTTTTCTATCTACTCTCCAATGCAGATAAGAAAATTAAGAAATACTATTAATATCATGTATGTAAGAAAATAAGTTATATCCCATATTTTAACATACCTACTATATTATTACAGTCTAAGACTTAAAATATTATTGATTCTTAAATAATCAAAAATTAATATTCATGCAGGCTAGTGACTTCTTCAAGTTCCAAGAAAAGTAAAGAAGAAACTTACCAAAAATTTCTCCGTTTTTGGCATACTCTGTCACAAGGTATAACATACTTTTGGTCTCCATTACCTATTGATAAATGATCCCACATTAGTCAGACAGGAAAGATTTTTTTTTAAACACATTCTATAGGGTTACATAAATTAAAATTACTAGTGCACGAATAAGTTAAGAAGTATTCAGAAATAAGCATTTACAAGCCTCATTATATACACATCCCATTATTTTTGTGAATATTAGTCCCTTGTCCATGGCCCACCTTTAACAGCTGCTAGTACTTGGTAGAAATGCAGAATTTCAGGCCTGACTCCAGTACTGCTGAATTAGAACTGACTTTCTTTTTTGTTTGAGGCAGGGTTTCTCTGTATTGCTTTAGAGTTTGTCCTGGAGCTTGCTCTGTAGACCAGGCTGACCTCAAACTCACAAATCTGCCTGCTGGAATTAAAAGCTTATACCACTACTGCCTGGCTAGAATGGAAAAAGAGATTCCTATGCATTCTTATTCAAGTTTAGGGAGGTGAATACAGGTGAAAGAAGTTCTGAAGATCTTTCCATTACCTCTTCACTTGAGGCTGTGGGAAAGTTATGTTATCAAGGCTACAGTTTAGCTGAGCTAGCACAATATGGTATCTGTATTTTTCCCTACTGTACTTTAGTTAATACTGTTACAAGGTACTGTAATTTTAAAGCATTGTTTGCAAACTGCTTCTTCACAGCTCTACTGCTATATATTTCCATTTAAATTAGCTTTCCTAGGTTCAGAAAGAAAGTATATCATTGTTACCAATTTGATTTTTCTACCACATGAACAGACACACACTTAGACTCAAACAAGTTTTAGACTGTTTTTCTGTATACTTTGTATGTGTGTGTGTGGGGGATGCGGGTCTGCATGTATGTTTGTGTGGGTGCATGTACATGTTTATGCATGTATGTGTGCAAGTGTGTGGAAGGCAGAGGTCAGCTTCAGATTTTCCTCCACTTTGTCTTCTAAGACAGGGATTCTTTTTGTGCTAAACCCACTTGATTAGGCAAGGCTGACTGGCCCTGCAAGCTCCAGTAACCCATGCTTCCACCGCCCTACACTGGGATTTTGAGTGTATACCACTATTCCTGTCATTTTTACATGGGTTCTAGAGATTAAACTCAAGTCCCCAGTTTTGTGTGGGTTCTAGGGACCAAACTTAGGTCATCTAGCTTGAATGCCAAATACTTTATCAAAGAAGCTATGTTTCTAGCCCTTTAGTACTCTTAAAAGTTTTCTACTGAAAGGTTGCAAGCTAATTTTCCACTGAAATACAGGCTTACGACTGTGCTTCATCAAATAGTAAGTAAATAAATAAGAGCTGTTGGAATTAAAAAAAAAAATCAAACAGTAACTTGTTTTTACAAATACAGCTGGCAATATCATGAGAACCATGGGGATCAGTTTAGAACATGATCATCAATACTTCTAAAATTATTATAGAAGTATCTTCTTAAATGTAAAACAAATGCTAACAGGGAAAAATCTGATGTAAATTTGACTTACATCTCTATAGTTTTGGAATTTTAGGAAATATTTTGAGTGGCACAACATACATATGGCATACATAGAAGGCTTATCATTAGCTGATGATTTCCTAGTTGGAATTTTCAATCAACATTGTCTACAAGTGTATAATATGTATACACATATATGTATAAATACATATATATATACACATATATATGAAGAGAGAGAGAACAAATTATGTATGTGTATCATAGTATAAAATGCACTCAAGGACATAATAGAACTAGAAGTTTTAACATTTTCTTATAATTCCAAGGACATTTAGAGCTCACCTGAGTATAATAATATAACAACAAACTGACCCTATGAGAAAAGGGTCTGAGTTTTAATTTCATTCTTGTGATATAAACATGTGCTGAGTTTGAGCTACTCAGTGTGATGTTTATCTGCTCCTGAAAGCTTATGAGTTGGTCTTACAAACTAGTATAGATAAAGTCCTACATACTATGGGTATACTTATCACAGGGCATCAAAGTCACAGTGGGTCAGCATACTTGGACCTTTCAGTTTAAAAGTCATTTTCAATGTAAAGATATGATACATTAATTAAGAGAAACTTAAAAATAGTTTATTGATTATTAAACATGAAATACTGCTTTTTAAAAAATCCGAGAAAATATTTCTTTTAAAATACATGGCTTAAATGTATATGCAGCTTACAAAATTTCTTAATAAAACTGATTTTTTTAAAAAATGGCTTATTTTTATAACTCATAAAAAAGAAGGAAGAAAAGACATGAAAGCAGCATTCAAGAGAAAGACACCATTCAACAGAGCTTGGGTGGAGGGTTTTTTTCCTTTTGTTTTTTTGAGACAGGGTTTCTCTGTATTGCTTTGGAGGCTGTCCTGGAACTAGCGCTGGCCTCAAACTCACAGAGATTCACCTGCCTCTGCCTCCCGAGTGCTGAGACCAAAGGCATGTACCACCAATGCCCAGCTTGGGTGGAGGCACTTTTTATTGGGGGAAAATGAATGAGAGGAGACCCACCTTTGTGGATGGGATCAGTAGAAGAGAAGATAGAGGTAGAGAGTTGGAGAGGGAGAGGCGAGACAGAGAGAGACAGAAATTGAAAAATAGGAGGTGGGCAGGGCTGTTTTAAAAGGAATGTCGTGAATGTGCACAGGTGGTGCTCTTAGTAGCTGCAGCTGAGGACATACCCTGTCAGAACTCCAAGAACAGGCCAGTACAGATGCCTGAATACTAACCACCATCACATTTGAAAATCCAGCAAGTTCAGGCACAACTGCCAATTTTTAAAATAGTTAGCTGATAATCTAAAAGACAACTTAAGGTTAAATTACTAAATAGCTTCCTAGTTCCATTTTTTACATACACACACACACACACACACACACACACACACACACATACACACACACAAACACACACGTAGCATTTAGCGTAAGAAAGCATTTCTTTGATAGAGTAGAAAAAATGGCATAAAAGTAAAAATCACAATGAAAACAGACACTTGGTTGTGGAAGCATAAAGAGAAAGAAGGCTAAGCCATACCTGATAAAGTTTGATTATGTGAGGATGGTCAAGCATTTTCATTATTTGTACTTCTCGGTAGATTTTCTCAAGGTTTACCGCATCCAGTTGAGATTTATCTATTATTTTTATAGCCACCTGCAGCACAGAATACAAAAATACAATGGTTAACATTTCCAGTTAAGACTTAGTAAATGATATCTGAGACCTTGCCTGTAGGTGTCTGTAACACTGATAGCTAATTTAATTCAAATGTTCATTTGTTCATTAATGCAACACACATTTCTTAAGCTTCTACTATTTATAATGCATAATAGATTTTTGTCTGACAAAGTCTCTATTGTGTTGTGGAAAACAACTTTTCAAAGTTATTTTAAACTGAAAAACTCTTAGCACTTTCAACCAATGAATTACCTATGAAGTATGTACCTACCAAGTGGGAAGCAACTGAGATGGCAGTTTTTAGGAATGTGCCTAGATTCAAGGAATATACAGATAGACTTTTCTCCAGTCTCCAAAAAGCCTTTTACAATTTTTATTAACATTTTTTCCAAACCATATTTTGATCATATTCTTTCCCCTGCCACAACTCCTCTCAATTCCTCCCCACAGATGCATTTTTGAAAAAGAAAAATCTGAAATGTAAAATATTAAAGCTAATCTATGTGAAGTAATATCAACTGAATTAAAATTAACATACTAAGATGCAAAACTTCAAATGTGAATAACTATATTAATTTTAACTTACTAAGAGTTTAACTTTAGCAAATGTGACCTAATTCTGTCATAACTAAATCGGAATCCAAAGGTGAATTTGAAGGTAAATGATTACATATTCAGAAACAACAATTGTATGGTTTCTTTTTTTTTTTAAATGTAATTAAAAGAACTAACATTTAGAAATTCAAAGCTTTGGAATAAGGTAATCTGCTTCAAATAAGATACTTGGCAATTGAAAACTCCCCACATTTAATTCTAGTGAGTTCTAAAGCAACTCTAAAGTGCACTTCACATTCTAGCAAAGAATTCCAAATACTTGCGTAGTCTATGTTACTTCAGCATAACTTTTTAATATCAATTAACGTACATGCTTTAATGGTTTGTCATTTCCAGAAAGTATGCAATAGGACTCAGCTTGTTATTCAACTTCCTTGGTTTCCCAATCACACATTTTTTTTTTTTTTTCCTTTCTGTCTGCTTTATGCTTTGTCTCTTTTTTTAAAGGTACTTTTATGAAAAGCTACTTTCATTATGTCTGCTGTTGTTTCATCATCATAATCAAAATCAAAATATTTAGAAAACTAATGTCAAACGGCTAGCAAAACGGACTGCTGGTGATAGTACTGTGCTTACCAGGAGAGGCAGCAAGTATGGCTGGCTGTCTCTAACCCTGTGAGTGGATCTCCTCCAACGACATATATGAGACCCCATTCTTACTGAGAGGGTGACAGAATCCAGGATTATCACTCACTTTACGTAACTTCCATAAAAACTGCCATATAAAAGGGCAAGGACATGTTGGAATTTCAATCTTCTTTATATGGTAACATGGAGTCTCACAGACAACATGTTTCAAAGAAATGTCTATTCCTACAGTCTGAAGTCTAGACATCAGCACCATTTCACAAAAAAAAAAAAAAAAAAAAAAAAAGCTTCCATTATGAGAAAAACCGTAAGAGAGAAGAGAGAATTTGAGAGAAAGGAATCAAATTCTGTACATAACTTTTTCTCAAGCTTTAATTTTTAAAATGTATATATGTGTGTATGCCTTCATGAGTTTATGTGAGCCATGTAAATGCAGGTGCCTGCAGAGGTCAGAAGCCAGTGGAGCTCCTGAAAGTGGAGTTGTACTCCTTATTTATGGTATCTGTAGGATGATTAAGCTTCTCTAAAGAAAAGCATGAGTTCCCATGATCCTTGTAGCATGGGCAGTCGTTATAACTGCTTTAGCAGACTCATTTATAATGATTCAAGCAAAACAGAAGTTTATATCTTGCTCATGTAGTAGGCTTAAATGGGTAGAATTATTAGCAGGCCATATGGCTCAAAGCACACCATGTTTAAGGTCTGGCTTCCAAGGTTGCTCTGAAGATTGTCTCCATTCTAGACAGAAAGAGCTCTAAAAGGCCCTTGAGAGAGACTTTGATGGGCAAGCCTCACTCATTCCATTAGTTAGAACTCAGTCACATAACCACAAAATATATGAGAGGCACAGAAACAGCCCAGTTAATGCCCAGATGTAAGAGTGGAGCTTTTTGATTCGCAAGGGTCTCTGCTAGCTTGAGGGAACTCTTTGCCAAGAACTTCTCAGAAATGCAATAATAATGACAGTGGCTTTGCCAACTGCATAACACTTCTTAATTTTACAAGATCCTTAAATGCATTTTATCTCATTTATCTTTCAATTCTGTCAAATAAATGAAAGAACTAGGAGACTAGAAACCGATGAAACAGATTCAAAAGTTATTACACATTAGCATGCATGAGGCCCTCTGTCCAAATCTCAAAACCTTTCTTGGCTCCACCCCTCCCCCCAAAAGTCACATCATCTGTAAATGTTTCAAAGCTCTAGCAAATTAAGGTGGGTGAGGGAATAGGTAGACAAGATACAACCTCAGGTCTTCCATTCCAAATTCAATCTTCTTGCTATTTAAAAAAGTTCATGCATCACATATTTATTGCATGCCAAATACCTATCCCTAAGATACAGAAACAAGTCAGATGGGATTTCTAGTCTCAAGGAAATGATCAAATCTATGACTGGAGTGAATAAAACTGATTAAAAAAACGAAATTTCTCAAAAGTATACTGAAAATCTCCAACTTACAAAACACTAGTTATTTCTTAGTTTCTTTGCTAACCATCTCCTACTTTTTAATAGTTATAAACTCAGGACAAAAATTTACATGATCAAGAAGAACTCAAGAAGGTCAAAAAATTCTGTTAATTGAAGATCTCTTTTTGTTAACTGAATCATTTAACTCTTTAACTTGATTATATAAACAGTTTCTAAAAACAAACTGGATTTATGGCAATAAAAATAACATTCCTTCAGCTAAGGAGCAAAAGCAAGGCTTCCTCTCTAATGTAGGAGGACATACATGAGAAATCAGAAAGATTGTTATCAATCTAAACCCTATATATAAGCAGCTTACTTACTACTCAACCACAGAAATACTCAGAAAATTGTAAATTTAAAACAAAAAATACCACTTGCACTTTTATATTAGAAAAAATTGAAAAGTAAATGCCCACATGAACTAAGTTTTGATGAGATAGCCATTTTTGTAGAAATTTGGATGAATATAAACAGGTTATAAGTTTGCCAGGAAGCAATTCAACAGTGTATAAAGGATCTTAAAAATCCACTAAGTCTGAGGACTTTGGTACTGAAAAAAGAACCCTCTGAAGGGAATAATCTGAATTAATGACAAGAACTTCTGTATAAATAAAATATATCACTTAAATTAAAAAAATATAAACAGTTGAAAATAATTATATGAACTGAGGGTTTCTAAGACTATAAGAGAAGTGACTTAAATAACTTCCCATTTAAAAAAGTTGCAAAAATTCTAAAATAAAAGACAAGGCAATTAAAAGAACAACAACAACAAAAAAGCAATTAGTCATCACATAATACTATAACCAATGAAACATAGTTAAAAAAGCAAAGAAAATACATGCAATTTTGTCTATTGAAAAAAAAAAAAAAAGAACCCTAAAGAGCAGTATTCCTAAAAGTGTTTTTCCTACTGGTAATTAATGGGTATTGCTTTTGTAGAGGTTATTGATGAATTGTGGCATCTCAGGCCATAAGCTAGGAAATGGATTGACTTTTCCATCCAAGAATTCCATTTCAATGGAACTGCTCTGAGGAAAAAAAAATCATGTATGCAAATGTTTGCAAAAGAATATCCTTTGGAATATTTAGAGTACTGCAATAGAAAAAAATGAACTTCATTTTTAGTAATAGCAAATTAGTTAAACAAAGTATGACCAGTGACATGCAAGATGCCTTCTAATGCTGCCTTAGATTAGTGATTCTCAACCTGTGGGTCCTGACCCCTTGGAGGATTGAAAGATCCTTTCACAGGGGTCATATATCACATATCCTGCATGTCAGGTATTTACATTATGATTCATAACAGTAGCAAAATTACAGTTATGAAGTAGCAATGATAATAATGGCTAGGGGTTACCACAACGTTGAGGAATTGTATTTAAGGGTCAAAGTGTTAGGAAGGTCAAAAAACACTGCCTTAGAGTTTGTTTTCAGATTTGGAGATGTTAGTAACAAGAGAAATAAAAAGCACAGGTTATATGCACAGTGACATCTATTTTATTGCAAAAAAAAAGAAATACAAGTGAATGAAGAGGGTCTGACTCATCTCCTGAGTTTTGATAGCAGAAGTGAGAATGTGTATGTAGTTTCTTCTCCAGACTTTCCACATGGCTCTAATGAGCAGGCCTAACTTCTGAAACTGGGCAGGCAGCACTGTGTGGATAGTGTTTACTTTTAAGAAGAACTTAAAACATAGTAGGAGGGTTCCCAGTTTAATTTACTTAAGATGCATCTCTTAATCTGTCTAAAGAACTTTATATGTTCCAAAATGAAGAGTTTCTGATGGAATTCCCCATTGTTTTCCAATTTTAACTATCATAACTAGATATTATAAAGGATAGAAAGTATTGTACATGAATATTCAATGAAAAAAACTTTTACAGAAATCACTTAAAAAAGATGTAGGAGGAAAGGTAAAAGATCTATTAAAAAGGAAAAAGAGGTGTCATAAGGAATTCTGTAATCCATTTGATGCCAAGGAAACTATAATCAGCAGTGGGCCATAAATCAAATATCATCAAGTGAGTCCAAGGAGGGCAGTTTCATGATTTCCAAATAAATGTTTTCTTAATTGCCTAGTGCCAAGATTGAATTCCTTAGAGGACTTAAAATCAGAACACACTAAACTCTGCTAAAGTTAAAAATTTCTACAGAACAGAGAAATTTACACAACTCAGGGCCATCTTAGTGGATAAAAGCACTTGCTATATTAGCCCAATGACCTGAGTTCAAGTTGAAGGAGAGAGCTGAATCTACAAAATTGTCCTTTGGTTTCCACATGTGTGCCACAGTGCCATAGCACACACAAACACACAAATTTTAAAACTTACACAGCTCTTGCTGTGTATATTTGGTTGCCATTCCCTGAAGAAGAGATAATTTTAATAATACTTACCAAAACTACTTGCCAATTATTACTTGTCTAAGGGCCCAGAAACTAGAGAACAGTCTAATGACAAATCAAGTCATAGTTCAATACACAAGAGATCATATATAAGCCTAGATTCAAATGTTAGTGGTTAAGGTATTTGGCCACAGGTTCTCCTACTGCACATAGTACAGCTACTTCTTGAAATCTCGAGCATTTTTGCAGCACAAGACTAATACCAAAGCTACTGAAAAGAGTTATAGAATGTCAAAGCAAAGTTTAAAACCCAACTGTATTTAAAAGAAATACCAAGCTCATGGCTTAATACACCCTCTTTTTTTTTTTTTTTTTTTTTTTTTTTTTTTTTTGTTTCTATCCTTGCTATAGAAACATCATTTTGAACTTTCCTTTTGGAAAGCATTATGAAAATCTACACTTCAAGGTAGTTGTCTGAGAACTAAGCCTGAACATCTGAGTCACAAAATGCACACAGAAACTTCAGTGTACAAAGATAGTTTTTGGACAGCCTTTGCCAGCCGTTCTGAGTCCAGGTTCTCTCATGGAAAAGCAAGCAGCCTAACCTCTATAGGCCACTTTAATAAGGTAACTTTCAGAACCTCTCCAAAGTGTCTATACATTTTCATCCATATGACTTTGGAGGTAAGCAACACAAAAAGTATGCTACTGAGGAAAAGTCAAGTTATCTGTATAGGGAGGGATCAGAATATATACTGGTAGTATAGGTAATTATTTTCATTTATCTGTACTTTTAAAATTTTCAGCAATAAACATGATAAAGTAATAAAAATTCTCAAATGTATAAAAACTAAACCTTCTCATTTAGTAATCTCTCTTCTGAAAATTACCAGCAATTCCTGCTCCCTAAAAACATTTAAATTGCACACACAGATTTACATACACAATAGTGTTCCCTGTCAATTGTTGAAAACTGGACATGATAAAATATTCAGTAAGAGTCTTAAGTATAATGGGTTATGTAAAGGTAGAATACTAATCTACTAAAATGATGGTGTGCTGTCACCTATAGGAAACAATACATTATAAATACTAAAAGGCAATGTGATAAGAACAATGTATTCCCACTAATCGGGAAACTATATACATTTGGTGTACTATGCATTCCTTTTTTCTTAACATTTACTGTAGTAAACATTCTTTAACAGACAATAGCACACTTACGGGTACAAGTAATTTTCCTACAATTTACCACTCCCTCCAAACCCCAACAAAAACAAAACAAACAACTCCACTCCTAAACTAACTACACAGTTAACGAGAAGGGGAAAGTTACTTCCTAATAAAGTATTTATAAAACACTACTCAAGGACATCCACAGAATAGAAAACTAGCAACTACTGTTGCCAAAAATATTTTAATGGTGTTATTTTTTCCCATTGTGCTAATTTTACAAAATTAGCTTCTGTAATTCATAAACCAGCTCTGCAAAGACTTTATGAAGTATTACATTAGGAAGCTGGATTCTACCACCCCCTTGCCTTCCCTTTTGTGTGCAAAATTTACACAGAGATCTAGCACATGAATACTGTTTCAGATGACGTAATTCTATTTCTCAGTAGTAAGCCATTTGACAGATTAGACCAAAATTAATTTCTCATCTGTATATTATTTTTTTCCTAAAAGGGAAACAGACTTCTCCCAGGCACTACAAAATTATATCTTACTTTTCATGAGTGATACTGAACAGAAGATGGAGACAAGCCAATTAAAAATAAAACTATTCATAACTTGAATGTTAAAACTAAGCCCTAAGATTTGTCTCAGGGGGTGTCAAGATGGTCAGAGAATAAAAACACTTGCTTCCAACCTTGATTATCTGAGTTGGATCCCTAGCACTCACATGGCTACAGGAAAGAACCAGCTCCTAAAAGTTGTCTCTGACCAACATGCTTGCACTTGTGTGTGTGTGTGTGTGTGTGTGTGTGTGTGTGTGTGTAAAATAAAACTGACCCTTTTAAAAAATTGGCTCAGAATCAAACTAGAAGGAAAAAAAGATCTCCAAGTTCTAAAATACATAAGTCTACAATGCTAAAATACAGTAAATAAAGGGGTTTCCATAAGCAGTAAATATAATCACATTTTGCTAGTATTTTTCTTTACACTATATTAACTGTTCTCACTGTAATTAACTATATGTAGTAAGTTAAGCAATGAGAATCTAAAATAATGTAAGAATTGAAATTTTCACTACAGTTTGCATGGTGGTTCTATTATCAAAGACACAAATATTCAGTAAATAAATAATAATTATTCCTAAAGAAAGAACTCACCAAAAACAAATGCTATACTTTTAGAAACTGAACTCATGATCTTTCTTCATGTAATTTCCCTATAAAACTTCGGAGAACCACTTTGCAAACTGAAATTCTGCACAATAACTGCTAGATCATCCATTTCACCTTTCTGTGCCTTAGTATGGACAATCACAAAATTACCAAACATGCTCCTACTTGCTCACTGTGAAACCAGAAAAGCACGAGGAAGGAATCTGTAAGCTAAACTTTTAGCTTTTAACATAAAAAAACTTTATACACATATACTACAAACACACACTTTAGGATCTGCAAGCTCTTTGATGATCTGACAGGTGTCTTCAATCACAAATCTAACTGACCTGACAGTCACAGGCAGTGTTGCTCCACAGTGCCCCCTACCTCACTTCCTAAGAAATATCAGCTTGAAAGGGACACCATCTAAATTGTGACCCCCAAGAAAGTTGTAAGTTACCATGAGCTCCACTTAAGCAGCTCTCTAAAGGGGGATAGTTAAAGCACTTATACCACTTTAAGTAAACTCGGTCTGACCAGATAACAGATTACCGCTACATAGTGCTAATAAGAAAAAGTAGTATGAGCTATTGGATTTTGTATCCAACTACACAATAATATAGCCAAAAAGTTAACAGACTCTGTAATGTGCCATTTTTGACAGTCACTGAAAAAGACTCATGAAGATACCCATTTAAGATATATTCCCTTTTACTTAACATAGAAGCAAAGGTATTGACAGTTTGGCCATAACTCTTTATAAGGACGAAACAACTTTATTCAATAAAAAAGCGCCGGGATCTTATTAAGCTATGCGACAATTTGGTAATGTCAATATATTCATATTATCATCACTAACAATCTAGATCCATAACAATGGTAAATTTGTGAAAGGAAAATGTTTGACCTTGGTACTGATGCCCTAAAGAAGTGTATTAGGGAATCGGTGAGGCAAAACAAAAATTGAAGACATGTCAGGCATATCCTCCTTTATGGACACGAAGCAAAACTTCTAAGTACTACTGCTAAGAAAACACTCAGGCTTTTAAATGCCCTTCACCTTACGTAAGTCATCCTGTGTGTGTGTGTGTGTGTGTGTGTGTGTGTGTGTGTGTGTGTATGGGTGGGGGTGGGGGTGGGTTCTGCATTCAAAGGCTAGAACGTTCTTAAGATCGTACTAGGGAAAAAACCCAGACGAGATGAAATCTGGGGAGAGAAACTGAAAACCGGTGAAACTACAGTGGCAATCACAAGGCAGAATAGAATACGTCAAAACCACTAGGTTGTAGTCTAAAAAACGGTTTGTTTCGATCGTTTTTTCCAAGGTATTTAATTTGCACGTCTTAAAATAGAGACCCCCGAGGAGAGCAGCTTGAGGCAGTGGAAGGAAGGGGGTGGGCTAGGTAAGAACAGAGACTCCAGGAGAAAATATGTGCGGTGCATTAGAATGTACCATGGAGGGGGATACTGGAGTAAGGAACCAGTTGAGGGCTTTCTGAGAAGTCCATCTGATATGGCTTAAGATATTCGTGCTTGAGTCAGTATGCACACCTGGTAAAGGGACCTGGTGCAGAGCTAAAGATGACCATTTTCAACCAGTTCTATTGTCTGGAGTATTAGATATACCTCCGGCAAGAGATCAAGCCAAATCAGAGACCCTGCGGGCCCAAAGCAAAGAAAACGGACAGCGGTCCGTCCGCAGCGGTAGGGTCCGCGGCGCCCCCTCCTCGCCTAAGCAGCGAGGGACTCCTGACTGGGGCCGCGATCCCTGTCCGCCAAGTCCGGGAGCTCACGGTCCCCTTCTCCCGCCGGCGACGTTGGTCCCCGTGCGGCCCCGGAGCACCGAGACTTCCCCTCCCACCCCACCCCCAGCCGAAAGCCGGGAAGACGCGGAACTTGGGCTTGGGAGCAGAGGCCACAGACCAGGTCCCCGGGTGGGAGGCTCGGGACGGAAGCCTGTGTGGCTTCCTAGGGACAACCCCCCACCCCCGACCTGCACCCCGCAGTCTCCACAGTGCCAGGCCCACCGTTCCCCGCCCGGGGCGCAACCACGCCACGCTCCCGCCGAACCCCGGTGGAGCCGCACCTCCGTCTTGGTGATCCGGTGCCGCCCCAGCTTCACCACGGCGAAGTTGCCCTTGCCCAGAGTGCCCTCGATGTCGTAGAACCCCACCCGGACCGGCCCGCGCTGCAAGTGCCTCGGGCCATCCGCCATGACCATGCTGGGCCCCCGCTGCAGGACACCGCAACTGGAGCGCGAACGAGCGGGCCGGCGCGAAGCGGCGCTGAGCAGGCAGGAGGGCGGCGGGCGGCGCGGCTGGGCTCTGGGCGACGACCGCGGTGCTCGCTCCGGCGCTGCTTCCCTCCCGCCCCACAGGGCCCAGCCAGGCGCGCGCCGGCGCTGACGTGCGCCGACGTCAGGGGGCCGGGGCAGGGGGCGGGGGCGGGCCTCCACCGGTCACCATGGCTACCGCAGCAGCACCGACGTCGGTGGCGGGAGGGAGGGGCGGTGCGCAGCTCGGGCGGGCACTGTGCTTCCGGCCGCGGCGCCCTCCTCAGCCCACTCGGGCCTCGCCGCGGCCGGGGGCGGGGTCGCCGTTCGCCCCGCCCCCTTCCTCCTGCCTTCCAGCAGAAGGGCAAGAGCGAGCCCTGGTGGGCCGAGCGGAGGGTGCACCGTCCCGCCTGCGCGTCGCCTGTAGGGACGCCTGGCGTACTCCTCCCGCCTGCTGCCCTTCCCGCCAAAACCTCGTCAGCAGGAGACTGCTGTGCTAAATTTGGGGCCCGAGGAGCACCGTGGCTGAGCAACGCGTTGCTCACAGCCTCTTTTCTTTGTGTTCTCCTTTTAGCCCCCTTCTCGTTACTATATAAGTCTCTCCGCTTTTTGACGTCTGTGAGGTTTTTTACTCACAGCAGTCGGTCACTTACAAAAAAATGTCGGCTCTCTGAAGAGACCCTAGAGATGACTTAAATTCGGAATTGCCAATGGGCTTCAAAGACTGTAACACCTGAAATGTAGGCACAGTTTTACTTATTTGAGCGTGTCTCTAGGGGAGAAGTGACTATACTTCGTCAAACGGTTGGGAATTTGTAAACGCTTAAAAACTATCCAGTTTATTTCCAGATGATGCAGCAGGCTGCTAGAATGAAGGGAGTTGCCTACGTCACACAGGTAATGCTAGAATTTTAATTGTAAATTATCACACCAGTATTCCATATGGTGACCTAAGTAAGCAGCGACATTTTAATATCTTGAAATATATGCGTCCAGACCTTGGTTCCCGGTTACCCATTCTTCATTAAAAGGAACCCAATTCGTTGGAAGTAATGACTCAGTCCAAGGCAGACAGGGAAAGTATAATGAAAGAACTTATGTGAGTAAGCAAAGAAATTATATATATATGTATATATATATATATACATATACATATATATGTATGTATGTATGTATGTATGTAACAGGAAGAATGCGTCAAAAGAGAATTCAGCTTAAAGGGACTCGTCATTGTCAAATCTGAACAAACTGAGCATCACAAATGAACAATTTGGAAATACATTACAGCACACACTACTTTTACATTTTTAAAATTTGTGTAGAGGTCAGCGGACAGTCTGTGTGGGCTGTTTCACGCTTTCCACTATGTGGGTCCTAGAAATTCGAACTCAATTGGTCAGGCTTGCTGCGGGTGCCTTTCCCAATGTGCCATCTCTTGGGCACTGCATTGTTGTTTTGTTTGCCTTTGAGACAGTCTCATTATGTAGTCCTGGATAACCTAGAACGTGCTATGTAGACCAGGCTGGCTCATACTTAACAGAGATCCGTCTCCTAAGTGCTGTGATTAAAGGCAGGTGTCACCATGTGTAGTCCACATTAAATTTTAAAAAGGAACCCACATTGTACATTTTCACTTTAACTATTTTCAGACAGGTTCTCAGAAATATGGTATATGCAATAAGCCCCCATAAATGTCTAAACGTCTATTCCCATTCCTCTTCTTTCTTTTTCCTTCTTTTTTTAGTTCAAGAAACTGAAGCATAGAACCTTATTATATGCTAGGCAAGTACTGTACCACTGAACTATGTTCTCAGGCTTAACTGTTAAGTGAGCATAAAGACAGGATAGGTGAGAAGAGGAAGTATGTAAAAATTAGGAAATCACCATTTTGTGGCTGTTAGTAATAGTTGTTCAGACAAGAACCATCAATAGGCTGTAAAGTCATTGGGTAAAGTCTGGTTGAAGCATAGCATATTTTCACAGTCTCAAAATATCTTTGGATTGAAAAAATCATTACAAAGGATCTCCACCTTTACAGTGGAGAAATCTCACAGACACTCCCCTGAGAAAATTACCCAAGTTACCAACTGGAATTAAATGACACAAAGAGACCTCTGGTATGTGGTATGCAGAACATGTCTCTTAGATGATGTCTCTGTAAAAATTCTGACTCTGTGACGAAGGAACAAATCAGGAAAATATAAAATGAGGAAATCTACCCCCAGCTATCTTTTGCACTTAAAGATACCATTGACATGAAAGAAAGGCTTAAGAATTCTCAATTTAAATCTTGAGACATGCCACTAGAGTTAGCATATGGTCCTAGAAAAGCATGTTACCAAGGAATACTGTCAGGGCAATTGTTGAAATTGAATTTGGTGTATATTAAAGTGTTGTTTCAATGTTGATTTTTAAAAAGATTTAATTTACTTTTAGTTATGTGTATGTGTGTGTGGGGGGGTATTTACATGCATGTGTGAGTGCAGATGCCCATGGGGCCAGAAAAGGGTGTTGGATCCCCTATAGCTGGAGTTACAGGTGGTGCTGGGACACCTGGTATGGGCACTGGGAGCTGAACTCAGGGCCTTCAAGAGCAGTACTTGCTTTTAACTACTGAACATTCTCTCTAGGCCTCAATGCTAAGTTTCCTGACTCTGATCCTTATACTGTGTTACGAAGGAAAGTGTCCTTTTTAATAAATACACACTGAAGTATTTATGGATAAAAGTTTGTGATGTAGGCTATAGGCAGACTTTTTGGTCCTGCCAGTCGCTCTGTGCCACCAGTTCCCAAATAGCACAGAGACTTCTTTTTATTAATTATAAATGCTTGGCTGATAGCTTTGACATGTTACTAACTAGCTTTTTTGACTTAACCCATATTTATTAATTTATGTGCTGCCATGTGACTCATGGCTTGTTACCTCATCTTCTACATGTCCTACTTCCTCTGCATCTGGCTGGCAACTCCCACTTTTCTTCCCAATGTTCTCGGTTTGGCTCTTTCACCTGCCTACGACCTGCCTAGCTATTGGCCAGTGGGTTCTTTATTAGGCCAATGAGAGCAATGCATCTTCACAATATACAAAAGGATTATTCCACAGCAATAGCTAATTTATTCTCAAATAACCTAGCAAAGATAATGACAGAGGTGTCAAATGTTAAACTGAATCCAAACAAGGGGTAGTTAATTGTTGTTCTTACAACTTTCCTGTAGATTTGTTTTTTAATGAAAATTAGTGTATGCATATTTATATATGTAAGTATTGCAGCTCAGATAGATATTTTGGCAGTCAGGAGCCAAGGAGTACCACAAAGTCACTGTAAACATGGCAGCTTATAACTCTGCTCCAGGGAGACATTTCCCCCAATGTAACATCCCTGCCCAGGCAGGGGAGGTTTCCTCCAGCAAAATTGTTACATCTCTGCTCAGGTCTGGAGAAGTGTTACAGCTCTGTTTCCCCCAGCAAAGGTGTTATACCTTGCTAAGGTCCCCTGGGGTGGAACAGTTCTGCTCCACTAGCAGAAGTGTTTTAGTTCTGTTCCTATCCTACTCCAGCAAAAGTTGTTACTGCTGGACTTCACTTGAATGAAAATGTCACACTGTACATCATACCTCACTTAGAGATTTATTGGGAAGGAATCCAGGAGGGTGCCTGCCTCTAGGGTGAGGTGGCTGCAGACTGAATAGGGTACAGAGTTTATATAGGGTTCGTTGGGAGGCAGGGCTTTCCAGGGTGGCTTGAGATTTGTTGACTTTCTGGAGTCTGTTCTCTCATTCCACTGTGTGTTTCAGGGGTGACTTTCAAATCGTCAGGCTTACATGCCAAACACTTTCACCCACTGAGCCTTTTCACCAGCCTTAATAATGCAACTGTCTCTCTCTCTCTGTCTCTGTCTCCCCTCCCTCCCTCTGCCCCCCCCCCGTGTGTGTGTGTGTGTGTGTGTGTGTGTGTGTGTGTGTGTGTGTGTGTGTGTGTGTTACTGGGAACTGAACTCAGGGCTTCGTGTATGCTGAACAAATTATTCTACTACTGACTTACATCACCAGCTCTGATCCCATTTTTATTTTTAGTGCAAGGTTTGCTGGCTGTTGTTGAGCCATCCACTGCTCTCTGTGCTTCTAGCTTTAATTCTATACTGTTTTGAACATTAGGGGAGAAGTAGGAGAAGGCCAAAAGGTTGATACAGATTTCTAGATCAATGAGAATGGTACTTGAGGTGCCTCTAACTAGGCCAGGAACCTACATAAATACCTCAGTTAAAAGATAATTCCTAGTAAGATACCTGTATATTCATTGTTCTGGGGGTGGGTTCCTTTGGAAATAGATAAAAAGTCACTTCAGAACAAGAAAGTACACACAGACTCACTAAAATAAGCAACCTCCTCTTTAAAGGCCACCTTTTAAGGAGAAATTGACTCATTTCTATCTGATTATTTGAATCAGATAATTAAGTCAACCACCTACTTGCACAGTCTGGGGATAAGATCTGGCTTGAGGCCAGAAGGAAAAGAAAGGACTAAGAGAGGGTACCAAAAGAGTTCAGCATCAGTGTGCCCATGTCTGTAGGTTACAGGAAGAGAGGTCATAGATAGGAAGAAGTGAGCCAAACATCAATTTTGCCTGTATAGAAATGCAGTGGATGTGTCATTGAAAATGACTAGTAGGTTGTAATTGCCACTCTGAAGAGCTCTGTGCAGCCTAATTTACGGCTCTTTAACTTTGGACTGCATGATTCAGCTTCCTTCCTCTGTTACAAAAGATGTGCTCCTTGTGAATTGTTATATATATATATATATATATATATATATATATATATATATATGTATATATATGTATATGTATATGCAATTATTAATTCCTTTTAATTATATTTAAGATTTATTTGTGTATGGGTGCTTTATGTGGGTGAACATGCTATAGCATGCATGTGGAGGACAACTTGGGGGAGTTGCTTGTCTTCTTCCATCATGTGAGTTATGGTTATTGAACTCAGATCATTAGGCTTGGCAGCAAGTGCCTTTGCCCACAGCGCCATCTCTCCTGCTTCACGTTTTAGCAGTTATTAACTTCATCTCACCCCTGCTTTCTTTTCTTCTTCATCTCTCTCCTTTTTTCTTTATAATTACCC